CCAGGGCTGGAATGGTTCTACCTCCTCTTCCTAACCCCACTCCTGGAAACCAGCGTGTATGAGCAGTGATGGCAGAGACTGAGGACATGGAAGAGGCTGTTAAACCACGTGCAACGGTGAAGACCAGCCACAGAAATGCCAGAAACTCTTGAACCCTGCTATAAGTAAATTGGAAGTCCTTGGGAAATTGTGAACGTGCTGAAAGCTAAGCCTTCTTAAGCATTCTTAAGTGCCAATCAGAGGGAAGACAGGAAGGGGAGCAGTTGCTGTTCCAGCTCTCCTCTCCCTTTCTTCTGCCCTCCCTGCACCTACCCAAAAGAAGGCAGGAAACTCCACAGGAAACCTCAGGCCTGGTGGGAGAGGGTCCTACCATATCCTCGGAGGCCTTAAGAATGTCCAGGGCACTGTAGGCTGCAAAGCTGAGATGTGGAAAAGGAGAAACCTCCCTGTGGAGGCTACAGGCCCCACCCAGACACAGGCCAGTTAGGGGGTTCGGGGGAGGGGTCAGGTGGAACTCAGGTCTCCCCAACCTGGACGTGGGGATCTAGTTCCTAGAGCTAAAGAAAAGGCCCACCTGGTATTTGCCTGGGCAGGGCCAGAGGGGCTGTGAGGCCACCACTCTCCGTCCCCACATGGCCCAGCTCAGTCCTCAGGCTCTTTCTCATGGGGCAGCTGAACAGAGGGGAAGCTTCTCTGGGGTTTGCACTGGACTTAGCAAAGCCATACCCTGGTGCCTGGAACAGAGCAGGCCCCTGATTTGCTTGTGGAATGAGAGAATGAATAAATGTTTGGGTTAGGAGGCCGAGGGTAAACGGGGTGGGGAGGTCTGGGAGCAGGAATCAGAGTGGTCCTTCTTCTCTGAAGAATTCAAGGCACTCAAAGGTGAAACCAGCATCACATGACTGACACATTTGGGGAAACTGAGATAAAGGAAGTGAGTGTGAGAATGGAACCTATGAGACTGATCCTATCACTGAACTTGTCCTAGAAGCAGAGGGCAGCTTAAAAACTGGCCCCTCAGCTGGTGGTTCTCAGGGATGCAGGAGGCAGAGATATGCCGTGAAGGAAGGAAGCATCTTCTTCAGAGATCAGGAGACCCCAAGATTTGCTCCACCTTGCCTGGAACAAAGGCCTCCTTCCAGCAACCTTGGGCTTCCGCATGAGGAGAAGGTGGTGGGTTCAGAAGACCTTGTGTGTCCAGCTTTGCCTATCTGGGACCTCTCAGTGATAGTGGCCTGGCCCTGCTGCCAGCCTGTGGGCTGCAGAGAATGCCAGGGGCCCCTGAATAATTCAGGAGTCAGGAGAGCAGCAGAGGCCTGGTGGGGCCTATGGCATCTGACACCAGCTCCCAGGGGAAAGCAGTGAATTATTGACAGGATTCTGGTGCCCAGTTGCTGATCCATTGTGGTCAGTCTGTGGGCTTGTCTGCACCTGCTGGCTAATTACCTGGGAATCTTAACCTTGCCCAGCTGCCCAGCCCCTTGTGTGTCCAGCTGGCCTCAAGTGAGGAGTGCCCTGTGGTGAGAAGTCAGAGGACGTGGGGTTAGCCACAACTCTTTCACTTAACAGCCCAGGGAAAACTGAGGTCCAGAGAGGGTCATGGCCATGCAGCAGGTTCACGGGAGCCAGATCTTTAATCCAGGCCTCCTGACCCCTGGTCCGGTATACCTACCCACAGAACAAATGGCCTCCCACCTCCATTTCCAGGGAAATGACTTGCATATGAGCCCACCCTTCCCCAGTCATCCCCGATATGCAGCCAGACTGTATAAAAAGCAGTGGTATCACCTCTGGGGTCACCACAGGGAGTGACCCTGCCCCTTCCTGTCCCAGTTGTTCCCTAGAGAATGTCTACACAGGAGGGGCTGAGGGGTGGCATTCTGCTTAGAATCAACATCAGGGCCCTTGTTGGAAGCTGAGTTTTCATGGCATGCATTGTGTTTTTGCACAGATGGTATGTTACAGACCTGTAAAAAGAGCAAAGTTTTATAAAAATGGTTTTCTTTTTACTTTACATAAAACTGAGAAAGTATCAATTGTCCTCTTCAAAGAAAATTTTTTTTATTTGGAGGAGCTTGTGGTGAACTGTTGGGAGTTAAAACTCCCCAAACCACCCCTGGGGGTGTGGCAAGTTGATTCCCCTGGCCATGCAAGGTCCCAGCATCCTAGTCTCACCCTCCAGGCCACACACAGGCCTTGGCTCTGTGGAGATGCGCACAGCTGGGAGGGAGGGGGCAGCCTGGACCTGCCCCCAGAGCCCATCCTGCAGTGGGGACCAGCCTGGCATGGGCCTTCCAGATGGCAAGCCCCACGCAGCACTAGGGAGGGAGGAGAGAGCTCACTATGCCCGGCAGTGTTAGAGGAATTTCCCAGGAGTATTCTCTTGACCGCTGCCCCGTGAAGCAGCACCGCCTTCTTTTGGAGATGAACAAATGAGGCTCAGAGAGGGAGAACTAGCTAGAGTCACACAGCTGCCAGATGGTGAAGACCCTTCAAACTCTGCTCTTTCCCCTGTCTACACTGCCTCCCTGTAGGGATGGCATTTGGTCTGCATGTGGACAGGGCTTGGACCAGCATGTGAGAAGGGAGCATTTCCAGGAGGCCGCTCTCAGCCTGTTGTGTGATTAAAGCAGCAGCAGAGTGCTCTAACAGTGAGAGCCACTGTGGAGCAGTGGGAGCCCTGTCACCGTCACTGGGGTATCTAGCAGAGGCTCGAAAGCGTGTGTCAGGGAGGTTGTTTCAGGGATTCCTCCCGGAATGTGTGCTGGACAAACTCTCCTCTAAGGCTCCTCTCAAGCTAGGGTCTGAGACTCTCAGGCAAGTTAAGCCTGGAAGGCCCCAGAGGCTTCTCGTAGCACTTGCTGGGGAATAGCTCCACCCTGCCCCCTGGAGGTGTCTTGTCACATTACAGCACCCCTGCTGATGCTGGGCACCCTCCTTTGCTGTGCTTGGGCACCTACATGTGGGGAAAGATGTGCCTTGCCTGGCACTTAGCATGTACTCGATAGGTCCCAGTGGAATCAAAGCAGCCTGAATAGTAGGATTGAGATTCTACTCGATCTCGCCCTGACCAGCATCATCAGCATCACCAGGAAACTTGTTGAAAATATATATTCTCAGGCTTCCCAACTACAAATCACAGCCCCTGGGTGTGGGGCCAGTAGTGTGAACTGAACTCAGCAGACTCAGCTGAGTGACTTCACTTTAGAAGCTCAAAAGTGGCCATGGTGGGGAATATTTACCCCATGGAAATTGGCAAATGCTACAAATTGGCACTACCCTCTCCTCCCCTCCCAATTAAACATTTTCTAGCACATCCTTGGGGACTTTGTGGGTAGGGAGGAAATTCTGTCACTTGTGTTTTTACAAGCTCTCTGGGTGATTGTGTTCATGCAGAAATTTTAAAATCACCAATTTAGAACCAAAAGAAGTGAGGCTGCAAAAAGGGCCAGTGTGTTCTTCCATACCCACAGTCTACGATTAAGGTCTGCACCCACAGATGCTAAGAGCCCACCCCCTTCCTTTTAAAAGACAAACCAGACTCAAGGGCAGCGGCTCCAGCTCTCCTGGCCCAGCCCAGTGCCTCTCTCTCTGTGACTCTGCCTGAGCTGGGAAGAGGACCCTGGTCTGAGAAGAGCCTGGAAGGTAGTTAGGCTTTGAGTGGAGGAGCGATGTGAACTTTTGCCCTCGGAGAAGTGAGTGGGCTGGCACATGGGGCTCTGAGCTCCAGAAGGAATCGGTTTATATTCATCCTTCATATTCCTCCCACACGGCTGCTCCCACTTCCTTCCCTCACAGATGGGAGGATGTTTTAATTTAATAAATCAGTGTTACCCTCTTTTTATTTAATAAATCAATGTTGGTTTAGACATCAAACATATCTGTCTAAGTCAGAATTCATCTGATATCTCACCACATACAATCTGGCCATTAATTACCTATGTCCTTTCCCTTCCTGTGGCCTCACTTTCCTCCTCCATAAATCACAGGCAGCGCTGTGTTACCCCAAGCACCCTTCCAGCTCTCACACACCATGGCTGCTGCCCTTGGCCTTCATCCCTTCACATGGAAATGGTGTGTGTGTGTTTTCTCCTACCCCAAGGAGGAGCACCATGTGAGAAAGTCTCTGAGTGCCTGGCTCTCTCCCAGAGCAAAGCTTCTAACCACAGGGGGAAGTGGGGTTCAGTTCAACTCTTTCAGCATTTATTGGGCACCCACTGTTGTTTCTTAATTCCGCCAACAGGTATAGACCTCTCTGGTGTTCCGGAAATGTCAAATAGAGGCTAGAAAGTACCACTGTGCCCTTGAGGGGCTCACAAATGAAGGCACCCCATGAATAAAGAATGACCTGCTTTGGGGGTTGGCTATGTGAGGGGGACCCCAATAAAGACATTTCAGAGTATCTCATTAGTCTTCTAATGACAGCTCTAGGAAGTAGGGGTTATTAGCTCATCTTTTAAGAAAACCATGGCTGAGAGAGCTGGAGTGGGTTGCCCAAGAAGCAAGGAACTCGCTAGCAGAGCTGGGCTTCAAATCCCATCTCTCTGACTCCAAGATGGCTGCAAACTACTGGCTTGTGCTGCCCCTACCCCACCATGCAGCTAGGAATAGGGGTCACACGGGTCCCTGCTGGCAAGGAGCACTCAGGTTGCTGATGTGGAATGAATGGACGTGTGTTGTTGCTGAGGGCTAGGAACCCTGTTGCTGGTCGGGAGTTGGGGGGGAGCTGCTTGTGTTTCCAGGGATTCCAGCAGCCCCCACAATGGGCATCTGGACGCTGCTCTGTAGGGGCTCAGCTGAAGCCTGATCTCACATACCCTAAGCCTCAGGCCGTTAAGCCCCTTAGAGCTCCTCCCCTGGGGAAATGGGCCTCAGACATACAACCACACACATTTGGACGTGCTGCCCTGGCTCCTGGGCCACCTTCTCCAGCCAGCCTGGAGCCTGAGCCAGCCCTGAGGATGTCAGCCTTTCTCCTCACCTCACTCTGCCATTCACAGGCTAATCGGGACCTTCCGAATGGTGCTGCAGAAGGTGGTGGAGGAGAGCCATGTGGAGGTGACTGACACCCTGATTGATGACAATAATGCTATCATCAAGGTGGGTATGCCCCAGGGAGTTCCTGAGCTTCCTATACAGGGTCACCTGGGGGAACATAGGGGAGTCTGTGGAGCACTCCTCATGTGTGACAAGATGAGGCTCTGCTGATGGCTGTGGGGGGAGGCCCTGAAGCATGGCAGGGTCTGCAGTGGTCACGCAGTGGACACGCCAGCCCTTTCTACCCTGAGGATGCCAGGGAAGAGCTACTGGGAGGTGCCCTCCCTTCTCCACCGATGGGTCCTTCCATTTGGACCCAGCTTGGGAATCACTAAAGAGGCTGCTCTTGTGGGAAGTCCAGGCTAAGCCCTGCTGGCCACTGTGGAGCATGGTCTTCACTCTGCACTCTGACTCGGCTCCTCTCTGTGACCAGACGTTCTGAGAGGGCAGGAACCTTCTATTCTGTCTGTCCCAATCCAGCACACACACACGCACATACACACACACACACACACACACACACGGACGGACGATAGGCACTTAGTGCATGTTCTGACAAATGGAGGAAGCAAACCAACCTGGAGGCCCAACCCCAGGCGCTGTTCTGGTCCACGGGTCCCTAGAGTAGTTCTTGAGCAGTTTAGCATGGTGGTGAGGAACACAGCCCCGGGGAATGGTTCTTAGTCACACTAACCATGTGACTTGGGAAAACTACATATCATCTCCCAAGTGAGCAAAATTATCGCATCTATTCACAGGATTGGTCACAGAAATAAAAGAGAATACACAGAAAGTGCTTAGAACAGCTAAGTAAGTGTTTAATCAATATATCGAATAATATTGTTGGCTATTTCCTGACTTCAGTTTACTCAACTATAAAATGGGGCTGTACCATGATCCTCCACCAGGATCCTGTGTAATACATGGCCCTACGCAATAGCCAGTAGAAACAGCCGCAGGACTGCAGCCACAAAGGACAGACTGGAAGGAACCCTCTCTGAGTAGGGTCCTGAGTAGGGCAGAAGTCCCCCCTCCACCATGTCTTGGAGTCTCAGTACAGTTCCTTGCTAAGAACAGGCAGAGCATTTGAGGCTTCTCAACCTGGCCCCAGCTAGGTCATTGTGTCCCTCAGGCAGGGATGAGCGAGAGGGCTGCTTACAGTTGAGGGGTGAGGTCTCAGCATCACAGGTAGAGGGGAGGGGTTGCAGAACAGGCTGCATATGGACACCAGTGGGAAGGGAGGATCCACAGGAATGTGGAAGCCTGGACGAAGAGCACATAGGTGGGAAGTGGGCCAGCACAGCCCATGCCCTGGACTTCTAGAACCAGACTTAGGACATCAGCTGAGGAAAGGACTTAAGGATCACCTAGCCCACCCAGCACCCACCCTGGCTACCCATCTTTGTGGATAGGAACATTGGAGTCCTGGATGGGAGATGGATTTGGCCAAGGTCAGGAAGCTGGTCAAGAGCAGAGGCAGCACTGAGAGGCTCGCAACCCCAGGGCACCATTTTCCCACCACATGCTTGGTTATGTCGGAAGGATCACATTGGTTCAGCAGGAAGGACTTGGGCTTGCAGATAGGCCGCCTGGGCTCAAATCCCAGCTTCAGTACTTCCTAGCAAGTAAATTTACCTCCTAATATGTCATCCATGAGAGATTGGGGTGTTGGGAAGATCAAACGAGTGAACATTATAGCATCACAGCATGACATCTAGTACAAGCAGGGCTCAGAAAATCCGTGCCACTCTCCCACCCCCTTAGCTGGGGAAACCTAAGCTTGGGCATTGGGAGGTCCCAGAACTGAGTGAAGCTGCCTGTCTGGGGCACAAGCGCTCTCACCCCTGGACCAAGTTTATGGGGTCTCACCCCTGTGTGGGTTGAGGAAGGTCTGTGCACTAGGGGGAAACTGGAGGAACAGAGGCGCAGTCAGGATTCTCCAGCACTAGGTGTAAAGCCAGGTCTGCTGCTTTACTTTCTCCAGAGGAAAATCCCAGGGCAAGCCCTGAAATCCCCTCTTCTCCCAGGTGACAGGTAGGTGTCGGATGAATAGGAAGAAGTGTTGACTCTGTGCCTTTGAAGAGAGCTCCTGGGTTCCTCTCCTGGAGGCCATGCTCAGCTCACTCCATCACATTTCCAACTAGCTGGACTTAGGCAGACCACCCCTCAAGCCTATAGGCAGGTCTCTTTCTGAGGACTATGAGGTGACCTCATCAGTGGGGACACTGAATGGTACTTTGGATTTTTTTTTTTAACATTTTCTTTTGGAGACAGAGTCTCACTCCATCGCCCTTGGTAGAGTGCCAGAGCTCACAGCAACCTCCAACTCCTGGGCCTAGGTGATTATCTTGCCTCAGCCTCCCAAGTAGCTGGGACTACAGGTGCCCACCACAACGCCCAGCTATTTTTTTGTTGCAGTTTGGCCAGGGCTGGATTCGAACCCACCACCCTGGTATATGGTACTGGTGTCCTACCAACTGAGCCACAGGTGCCGCCCAGTACTCTGGATTATGTATACAGTGGCCCAGGCTCTGGTGTCCAAGGAAGACTGAACCCCCCCACCCCCAACACACACACACACACACACACAACCTGGGGGGTAAAGCCGTGTGCAGCAGGACCTGGGCCAGATCTCATTAAGCTGAATCTGCACACATCAGTCTTTTAGAGCCTCTGTTTCCTCATCTGCAAAATGAGGTAGGGGGATAATACCACCTTGACTCCCTCCCATGAGTCCATGAGTTAGGGTGTGGACATCACAAAGCAGCACAGTGTGATTTGTTATCAATGGCTCATGATTGCTATCAATGTCCCAGCTGCTCAACACCACCTCTTCCCTCCAGACCAGCCTGTGCGTGGAGGTCCGGTATCGAGCCACAGATGGCACTGTGGGCTCCTGGGATGATGGGGACTTCCTGGGGGATGAGTCTCTTCAAGAGGAAGAGAAGGACAGCCAGGAAACAGACGGACTGCTGCCTGGTTCCCGTCCCAGTTCCCGGCCACCAGGAGAGAAGAGCTTCCGGAGGTAACAGGCGCGCCTGTCTGGCTACCCACTGCCCATAAAGACACCAGGAAAGGGTCTGGGGCCTGGTCCCCCTGGCAGGGCTCTGTAGGTCTGGCTAGCTCAGAGCTGAGCTAGGGAGACATCGAGGATGTGGGAGGATATTTCTACAACACCCCCACTCCCCTCTACCCCAGGGCTCATGCAGATGAGGCCCTGAGGGAGGCTGAGCTCTAACCGCAGGGGAAAGGGCTAGGCAGCCTGCCTTCAATCAGAGAAGGGGTGAAGGATCAGGAGGAGGCCCAAGACCCAGCAGTGGCAGTTAGGCACAGGCAGCCTGGCCTCTACCCAGACCCAGTGAAGAGACCCAAGAGAGAGTGGCCTCTTCCTGCCAGAGGGAAGCCAAGGGTTCCAACTGGGACCTGGCCTCTGTTCTGTTGAGAAGAATGCATGTGGCATCTGGGGGCCAGGCTGCACATCCTGCAAGTATCCTGCCACACATAGACATTAGGAGGCCAGGTCCAAGCCTGCTCATTCCACATGCATTATTTTTGCAAAAAAAGAAATGCAATTATATTACTCCTACACCCAGAGAGATACAGTCTGGGCTAAGCTAGTCAAATGTCCAGAGGTTCCCAGGTCACTGGGAATAGCATATCAAATGCTGGTCAGTCTAAAGGACCAGGGTGTTTTCTGAGAAAAGGGATGTTCCCTGCCATTGGAGACATCTCCTGATAATCTCCTTCTACTCTTTTCCTTTCCAAGTAAAGTTTATTCCATCCTTCTGCTGGAAACAACACAGGTCCTAAATTAATGTGATTGCACTGATGCACTTTTACTAAACAAATACATTTTCCTTCTTTGCACTTGAACCACATCATAGCTCCTCACTCAACACACCCACATGCATGTACACACAGCACACACACACACACACACTTGAGAAACCCCGGGAGCCAAGTGGGAAGACTGAGAGTAACAACACATCCAAGTGATTGTGCCTGCAGCAAATGTGGCTGGACTGTCTGCTCCGGGCCAGCCACTGGGAGGGGACAGCCCTGGCCGGGCCAGCGTTGAGCCCACCCTTCAGATTTTGAACTCTTTAGCAGCAGGCCCTGGCCAGAATCCCAGCTCTGCCTCTTACTAGCCATGTGACCCTTGGCAAGTCACAAAACCTCTCCGACCCCTTTGCCTCACCTGTGGGGACCACAGCAATGAGAACCCCCACCCTATTGTTGGGAGAGCCAGAGGGATCATGGAGGAACAGGTTGTAATAGAGGTGCTGAGCACTGCTCACACCGGGGCTGGTGACAAACAGATTCACTGTATTAGAACAATGTAAAGATCAGGAATCAGCCTGGAAATGGTAAAAGGAGGAGGAGGAGCAGAGACCGGACGGGGACCAAGAGGGTGCTGACACAGTGGGCACACTTGGCCCCTTCCTCTGTCACCACTTAGGAGAGAGCTGGACAGGGCTGGGTCAGAGGGCTGTAGGCAGGCTCTAAGACAGGGCTTCCTGAGAACACAGTAGAAGCCATGTGAAGGCCATTCATTGTAGGAAAAGGGGTGTTGGCCCAGAATCAGGAGAGCTAAGATCCACTAAGTCCCACCCTGACTGTGCCACTCACTAGCTAAGTGATGTTGGACATGTCATTATCCCCTGGGGTCAGTAACATGAATGAGTTCAGCTAGCAGACACCTGGCTCCCTCTGACATCCTGAAGGACCCAGGGGTGCTCTGGCTGTGTAGGTAGGGTCTGTGGGAAACGCCTCTCTGGGAGCACTTGGCAGTCAGGAAGGCAGCCTCTCTGGGGCAGCTGTAGCTAGGTCAAGCGGAGCCGTCTCTCTCTCAGTTCACGCTAGCCAGCAGGGTGCGGTCTAGAGAAATAATGGTGGGAGCTCAGGCCCTCCACCCTGGAGAGCCCTGGGACCCAGGAATATGGAGGCAAGAGGGCTCCTCCCCCACTTCCTTACAGCCTGCCTGGCTTTCCCACCTCTCCTGACCTTCATTGGCTACACCCAGGGCAAGAGCAGGAGGGTGGGGAGGCTGGAGACAGTTTATCCCAGGGACTGGGAACCAGGCAAGGGTACCTTCCATGTGCCCCTGCCCAGAGTAGGAAAGAGGGTTCACACTCTTTCCCAGGCCTGACTTCTTCCAGCTTCCTGCAAAATGCCCAAGGGATGTGGGAACAGTGGGGAGCAGTAGGGAGCATAGACTCAACCCCCAGCTCTGCTGTTTGGGGACCCACCTCCCACCTGTAAAGTAAGGCTCACTGATGCCCCACAGAAACGTTAGGATTAAAAGCAGCAAGTTGCCCAGCACAGGCCCTGGCCTGTGGTAGGTGCTCAGCCAGACTTGGTGCTACCCTGATGCCAACTTCTCCTGTCCGGTCACTCTCACTAAGCTGCTGCTGAGCTCTAGCACCTGCCCTGTATCAAGGGCCCTGCATATGCTGCCCACACAGGAGCCTCACAGCCACCCAGGGCCATGGGCAGAGGACTCTACAGTATTTTCCTCACCTCCCCGCAATGTCAGTGTCATAGGGAAGGAATATATAACTAACCTCATGGTTAGCAGCTCCCAAAGCAGCTCAAAGGAGCCAAGGTCAGCCAGCCATGCTGAGATTTGGGGCTGCTAAGACATGGCTGCCCTTCTATGTAGCAAGCAGCACAAAATTGGGGTTCTAGGCCCCTGCATGTCAGCATACATCTGCCCCAGTCTCTGGATTGAGGACGAGACTTTGGCCCTGAACACACACACACACACACACACATGCGCACACATGCACGGAAGTGCCTATGTCCATGTACACTCATCTGCACATGCATTGTCGGTGCGGCACACACCACTGGAGTCTGGGCTGTGCAGCTGCTGCTGTCTCGTAGAGAAAGTCTCTAGAGGCCATGTCTTAGAGCAGACAAAGAAAGGAGTCCCGGCCTTAACCTTGTAGCTAAACTGTGGGTCTTGGGCCTTTCCTCCAGATGCCCTGTATTCCACGACTCTCTCCCCTTCTTATGTTCTCCACCTGGCCTGGCCCTCCTGCCTTCTATCACCTCCATCTCCTTCTGCTTCCCAACTTCCCTGTCTGGTGTCTCTGGGAATGTAGAGGTTCTGCCAGGCTTCTCTCTACAGGGTCTTATCTCGGGGGAGGTAGGGGCAGGAGACACTTCTGTTCTCCTCATGGATCTTTCTTCCACTGCAGTGGAGACTTGTGAAGCCAGGTACCTCCCTCCTATAGCTGGGGCCGGAGGGCAGGGCTCTGAGAGGAAGGTGCAGGGGTGTGTGTTGAGGGATGTGCACAGTGTGGGTAGGGGGAATGATGGTAATCAGTTCCCACAGCCCCCTGAGGGCTAGAAAATTCTTCCCCAGTACCTTTTGCCAGGCTGAGCTCCAAAGTTGCAACAACTCCCAAAGTAGCTCAGAGAAGCCAGGGTCAGCTGGCCAAGCTGGGATTTGGAGCTACTGAGGCTCAGTCCCCCTTCTCTCCAGCAAGCTGTTCTCTGCTGATTTGGGAAGCCAGAGACCTGGCTGATGTTAACTCCTCTGAACTATAAACAGACCTGCTTGCCTAAGGTAAAGGTGAGCTGGTTGGAGCTGGACTGCAGCTAAGCTGTGTCTAGGCTTCAGGTCCTGAGCTATAAGTTGTGAGTCAAGTCTACCTAGGCAGAACAGGCTATTAGGAGAGGGAAAATTCTGATTATTACTTTCTTTTCTTTTTTTTCATTGTGACAACATCAAAAAAGGATTGAGAGAATATTCCAGAAGGATTTTCTGGAAGCCTCTCTAAAGAGAGATAGGAGTGCTGAGCTCTGGAGTAGTAGCTCACTTAATAGCCCCAGCCTACATGCCACCCCAGCACCTCCCCACCTACCTGTCTTCTGGGGACTGGGTACCCTCCTAACAGCATACCTCCTCACCCCCCTCACCCTCTCAGAGCAGACTCAGCCCCTGGTTTCCGTCCAGACCCCCAGAGACTAGGAGCTCCCAGTCCCACTGGAAAGGACAAAGGGAAGAGGTCAGAGAGAAGCAGGTGACCTGGGTCAGAGGATGGCCAGACTCCTTCAACCTTGGGCTCCCTGGGGAAGCCACAATGACCATTCTAGACTCACCAGACCTTAGCCTGGGTGGAGAAGATCAGTGACACCCTGAGGTCACTCCTTCACCCAGTCTCCCCTCCGTGAGCCCCTCCCTCTTCCCCATGGAACCAGGGGCCATGGGACCCCTGCCCAGTAGTCTTGGACCATAGCAGAGGCTGTTGGGTGAGGGGTCTGTGGTTGAAGGAGGCTCTGGGACCCATGGGGCCAGCAGGGCCAGGGGCTAGGCTGCAAGTGTCTCTGGCCGACACCCTCTCACACAGGATCCCTTGTCTCCCCATTTCTCCCCCTACTCAGCAAAGGCAGAGAGAAGACCAAGGGAGGCAGAGATGGCGAGTACAAGTAGGTGTCCCAGGCCAGGGCAGAGGCGGTGGGGCCCAGAGTCTCCTCACCTAAGGGCTGTGGAGGGTGGGAAGGCACTCTGTCCCCGGGGGAGCCAGTGCGGAGGTGTGCAGGGAGGCCTTTTCCTCTGACTGTGGAGCCAAGGGGCAGGGAGGGGCTAAGGTGGGGCTAGGGTGGGGTGGGCAGGTGGCCGGGACTTCTGGTTTCCACTCTCAGCTCTCAGGGGTGACCCTCCTCCCTCCAATGTCTTGTTCCTCCTCCACTGCCCGCTTCAGCCCCCTACCCTGTGGCCCTCAGGCTTCCCTGAGAGGGAAGGTATAGCTAAAGGCAAGGGCAGGGAGGAACACGGGGAGCAATGGATTCCCCCCTCTCGGAGTTAAGGCAGGGCTGGGCAGGGAGGATAAGCTCTGGGCACTGTGTGGCTGCAGGGCCCACCTAGAGCATGAAGAACCAGAAGGCTAAGGAGGGACCACCATTTTGGTGGCATCACTATCTCTATTCCCCAAAAAGTCTTTTTGGGGGAGGGAGATTGGGTCACTGCATGGCAGGGAGAAGAGAAGGGACTCCAGATGGTAGCAGCCACAGGGGGCTGGAAGGATGCAAAGCCTGGGGCTATGATTGGGTTGTGTAGGCCCCCCCAGAAGCACAGTGATGTCTGGAGACTCTCTAGCTTCACAGGGGACTTCCCAAGGGCAAGGGCAGCCCCAGGGCTGACCACACAACTCTCCTTACAGATGTTGAATCTGAGTCCCAGAACAGGGGCAAAACTGGAACCAAAACCCAAAGTCTCACTTCCTACGCAGAGTCCACAATAGACCCAGGAAGAGTCTAGAGCATTTAACTGTACTCTTAAGTTTAATTCTCCAAATACACCAATGAGAGCTGAAAGCTAAGAATGTGGCTTTTATTTTCCAGATAAAGAATCTGAGCCCCAGAGATGTTAAGAGATTTGTTCAAAACTGTGGTCTCAATATGTTAAAAATTAGTTCATATTGCAGATATAATAGAAACAACACAATTATGTGTTTAGGGGCCTGCACTGATCCGGCACTGGTGTGAGCTAGGGGTGTCTGCTTACATGAAGATTCTAGGGCACTCACAGCCTTGATCATTGCCTCGACAAAAGCATATTGAATTCCAACTCATGTTTGTCATACACAAGCAGAAGCAATAATGAAGCAGTGTTGACATTGTAGTGATGGAGGGAATGGCCCATGTGGGGAGATCTCTGGCCCAGAGACCTGAAGGATAGGGGCGTTTACAAGGTTCCCAGCAAGGGAAGAGCCTCAGGCAGTATGTGTGTTCAGGCTTAGAGAGGGAGCCGGGGAGCTGAAGCCTGGGGTGAGTGGGCGATGAGGGGGTTTGCTGAGCTGGAGGCTGCTCTTAGAGAGAGGGTTCCAAGGTTCAGATTTCTCCATGGATGTGTAAATATAAAAAGCATTTACATGGGACATGAACAACCTACCTGTGCCCAGCTCTCTGTCAGAGACTGGTGATGCTCTAAGGCCCTTCTTGATTTCTAGCTCCCCAGTTGGTCCCAGGCCAGACCCACAGGGACACAGACTAGCCTAATTCCTTTGACTACAGCTGGAGTAGCAGGTGACTCTCAGTGTTAGCACACAGTAGGCCCACACAACTGCTGCTTCTCTGGCCGTACCCTATCCTAATTTCTTGCCATCTCCAATTAATATATGAGACAAAGCAAACCAGCTTGTGTTATTATCAATGTGTAGAGCGGTAGGAGTATTGAAAGAGTAGGAAAATGGGGTTTCTAAGAGATTGAAACAAAATTGAAACTAAACAAATTGAAACTCGTTAGCCTGAAGAAGGAAAAACCATGGGGACAGTTTTCAGTCTCTGAAAGGATGGCAGGTGGCAAAGTTGGCTAGTTTCTATCTCCACTGAAAAGAGATAAATGGAAATAGATTTAAGTTTCTGCAGGGAAACCTAAGATTCAACCCATGAAAGAATTTGTGCTCCTCTGAAAACATACGATTCTGAGATAGGTTGGTTTGGGGGAATGGGAAATACGTTTTCACGATGCTATTTGCTCAAGCCTTGCAAACGGTTGGGGCCCCCAAGGAAAACTAAGGAGCCAGCTTCCCTAGTGACCATGGGGCCAGAGTAAGTCCTGTGGTTCTCCCAAGCCTCCTAGTATAACTTGGGCACAGATGCTACTGGGGCAGTTTAGAGACAGGGTGGTTCTTGCATAAAGGATCGATCTACCCTGCCTACTTTTTTTTTTTTTTAGAGACAGAGTCTCACTTTGTTGTCCTCCATAGAGTGCCATGGCGTCATGGCTTACAGCAACCTCCAGCTCTTGGGCTCAGGCAATTCTCTTGCCTCAGCCTCCCAAGTATCTGGGACTACAGGTGCCCACCACAACAGCCAACTATTTTTTTATTGTTGTTGCAGTTTGGCCGGGGCCAGGTTCAAACCCGCCACCCTCTGTATATGCGGCTGGCGCCCTACTCACTAAGCCACAGGCGCTGCCCTATCCTGCCTACTTATAGGAGACTGAGACTAACCAAAATCAAATGCTTTCAAAGACACCTGTAAAGGCTGCAATTATAAAATTCCCTGTACTTGGGGCATGTAAAATTTAAAAGATAATCCATCAAGGGGCACTTGGAGAACATGTCCTCAAGTTTGGAGAATCTGGCTGTCTGAGCAATGCAAAGAAAGATCACAGACTCCATTTCTCATAGATAAGAGTTTGTTTATCTTGATTACCTGAGGCCCGGGCTAATGAGCCTAAACAGTTCCAACTGGAGCCAATCGTAGGGCAGAATCCCTGGGCAGTGAGTAGGCCCAGCCTACAGTTCGTTGAGTCATGCCCTTCTAAGTCACAACTTTCAGAATAATACATAGACCTCAATAATGAAACACATAAGTCACTAAATTTAACTTGGTGAATGTCCCTAAGCCATTATGAATACCAAGCTCTTCCGTGGGACCCTGTGTGCCTCACACAACCACAGCAACGTGCTTCTAAATCTGAGCCACAGAATGAGCAGAGAAACTGTCAGATCCAAAAATGAACAAAAGTTTACAATGAGCGAACTAATTTTAAAATCTTTTCTCTAGAAATACCAGTGTAGATCGTAGGCGTGTATCATTCTGACTGTGGTGAATGCAGCAACAGGAAGCTCAGATGTGATTCTGAATCCTCCATGTTTCCCAGGAGGCCTCCCCTTGCTTCCTGCTTCTCAAGCTTTAATATGTCAGTGAATCAGGAGCCCGGGTTTGTAAAGCAGGCTTTCACTGAGATCATTATAGACTTGTTTTCTTTGCTGTTTCTTACCATATCCTACTTTGGTAATTGCAGAACCCAACTAGACCAAATGCAGAGTTTACTTGGGAAGAAAAAAAAAAAAGGTCAACAGAAACCTAATCAGCAAATTATATTTTTTGAAATCTAAGTCTTTAATACAAGTGCGTAAGCTTCAAAATTACCTGATTAAGTTAACATTTATTTCAAAATCTCCTTTATCCTTCGCCAAGAGACAAACTGCTTTCTGGGAATGGTGCCTAATTAGGCAGAAGGGGCTCTTTCTGTTATGAACTTCTGAGGTGTCACTGATCAGAAACTCACAAAGGCCAGTGGTAGTGAGGAACTGAGGAGAAAGTCTAGGAGAAGCAAACGGGCACAGAGCTGGCGGTAAGAATTCTGGAAATGACCTCCTTCACTACACAATTCTGCATTTTTCACAAAGGAACAAACCGTTTTGAGAGCGTCCCAGGCACACAGGTGTACTATCAGTGAGCCTGTCTACTTCAGGTGGTGACAATTATATAGGGTTGAGAGAGGAATCTCTCCTTAGAAATGCTTTGGGGAGTGGTACAGATGACTAGATAAGTATAGTTGGTTTTTTTTAAGTCTCAATTTTTACCTCCAAATATGTTTGTTTTAAGGAATAAAGTGACTTTCATATTCAAGGGCCATAACTGCCCAAGGATGCTAAAGTCCTTTTCCACTTGGGTGGGTCCCTGGGACCAGCACCTGAAAGCCACAATTTCCTGCCTCTTAGCACTCTCTTTGGGCCACAGGCAGTGGGGCCAGATCCCACCCCAGGATGCTGGGCAGCGGGCTTCTCCAGGCAAGGCCTGCCTCTGTCCTGCTGTCTCAGAGCACTTTCCCAGGGGGTTCCGTGGCCGGAGTGGGCTGCAATGGTGATGGCATTGTGTAAGTTACACATGGGGTGGGGCTGGGGTCTCTAACACTAGCACAGCCCCAGAATGGCAGAAAAGTGATGGTGCAAAGTCAAACCCTGACCTGACCAATGCAGGAGACTCCTGTGAGACTCCAGGAGAGTCGTGAGGCATCGAGGTTAGGTAGAAAGGAAACTCAGGTGCTGAGACAGGAGGGGACCGTGGGGAGAAATGGAGTGGAGTAAGGGCCAGAAGTAACCACAGCTCCTGAGGCTGAGTCTGCAGCAGGGGTCAGAGGACTGACACCAGCACTTGTACCTTTGGGGCCACCAGGCAGGGAGAAATCCCATAGGATGCTACAGCGTAAGCCAGCCAGGATTGCCTCTCGTGGGTCCATTGATCTGTTTGATGTTATGTCACCAGCAATTTAACATTTATAGCAGTCTCTTCCCAAACTTGTTGATACTTAGTTTATTTTTTGAACAAGCCACTTCTTCATAAACGTGGGCATAGTCTGTGGGATTCTTCACAGATGGTGCAATCTGCAAACTGCCACACCCGTGCCTAGGAGTGCAGGCCCTGGGGCCCTTCTGCCAGAGTTTCAGATGGTCAGGATGGAGTCTGTACTCTAAGAGAAGTCCAGTACCCCAGCATTAAAAGGTGTTGGGGGCAGACTAGGACACAGGAGCTTTATGCTTCAATCCCAGTTCTGCCACTTACCATGTGACCTTGTAATTGTTTTCACCTCTCTGAGCCTCAATTTTTTCATTGGTTGAATGAGAATAATATGTCCTTCACAAGGTTGCTAGGAAGATGAAATGAGCAAACATCTGGAAAAGCCTTTGGCTCTATGTAATCTCTTTTTGGCCATTTTATGTACGTCTTGTATGTATTTGAGTATACATAACTTATCTCCCCTTATTTTTTTTTATTAAATCATAGCTGTGTACATTAATGCAATCACGGGGTACAATGTGCTGGTTTTATATACAATTTGAAATGTTTTCATCAAACTGGTTAACATAGCCTTCACGGCATTTTCTTAGTTATTGTGTTAGGACATTTATATTCTACACCTAGTAAATTTAACATGTACCCTTGTAAGATGCACCGTAGGTGGAGTCCCACCAATTACTCCCCCTCCACCCATCCTCCCCCCTTTCCTCCCTCTCCCCTTAAAAAGGAGATACTTGTTTTTTTTGGAGATAGAGTCTCACTCAGTCACCCTGGGTAGAGTGTCATGGTGTCATAGCTCACAACAACCTCAAACTCTTCAGCTCAATTGATCCTCTCATCTTAGCCTCCCGAGTAGCTGGGACTACAGGCGCCTGCCACTAC